CCGACCCCCGCATCCCACCGCCGCCACCGCTAAGGGGGAGCGCGGCAGCCGGGCCGCTTCCCATCAGGCACCGCGCGGGCCGCGCAGCCAATCAGCGCGCCTCGCCTGCCCCCGGCTCGGACCTCGCTACAGCAGCTACAGGGGGTGGGGCCGGACTGGGCGGGGCTGAGAGCCCCTGACCCGCCCCATGGTCCAAGCGACGTCGTCTGCGGAGACGTGGCTCCCTGAGGCAGCGCGGCGGGAGCCTGGCCCGGCCCGGCCTGGCCTTCGCACGCGGGGAGCTTGAGGGCAGGACCAGCGGAAGGGAGCACGGCGCCTTGCTGAGGAGCACGGAGTTGCTGTGGGCATCGTGGCTGGCTGGGCCGGGCTGTGCGGGAGGAGGGTGGACAGAAGTCACCAAGCGAAGGGGCTCTGCCCCGGGCCGTGTCCCTCCCACACGGCTCATCCTCTTCCCTGGGAGACACGCAGTCAGGACCTGTGGGGCAGGACCAGGGGGTCATAGAAAGCGAGGGTGGGAAGGGACCTCAGGCGGTCACATCCCATCCAACCCCTGCTCAAAGCAGGACCCGCCCCAACTAGGTCATCCCAGCCAAGGCTTTGTCTAGCCAGGGTTTGAAAACCTCTAAGGATGGAGCTTCCACCACTTCCTGGGTAGCCTGTTCCAGTGTTTTACTACCCTCCTAGTGAGAAAATTATTCCTAATATTTAACCTAAGCTTCTCTTGCTGCAACTTGAGACCGTTGCTCCTTGTCCTGTCATCTGCCCGCATGGAGAACAGTCTAGCTCCATCCTCTCTGGATCCGCACGTCGGGTAGTTGAAGGCTGCTATTAAATCACCTGTCAGTCTTCTTTAGGCCAGTGGTTTTCAACCTTTTTTTTCATTTGCAGACCCCTTTGGAAATTTTGAATGGAGGTTTGGACCCCTTTGAATTGTAAGTGTGGGTAGTCACATACTTTTGATTCATAATTTCATAGTAGCTAGGGTCAGGAGGGACCTTAACAGATCATCTAGCCTGACCCCCTGCCACAGGAAGGAATGAATGCTGGTTCACAAGACCCCAGACAGGTGATCATCCAACCTCCTCTTGAATTTGCCCAAGGTAGGGGTGAGGACCACTTCCCTGGGAAGTT